CATTAAAAATAAAATAAACTTACTACTCATTGAGTAGGCTGCAGAAATTCCCCCCAGGTCTGGACACTATACATTTACACTCTTGAACTGACAATCCCACATGAACGTAGCTCCCTTATATAAGATATCTCAGTTCTGGAACCTTCTACCCCTACTCGGGCGGTTACCTCCCGCTATCTCCGTGTCCCGCCACCTCCGTGTACCGCTACCTCCGAATTTCAGAGTGACCCCTATAATCCTCGGATACTTCCTGCGTTAAGACTTTCCGTCCAAACCTAACCTAACCTAACTTAACCTAACCTAACCTAACCTTACCTAACCTAACCTAACCTAACCTAACCTGACCTAACCTAACCTAACCCACGGGTTAAATTTTCATTAAATCTTCCATCCACGGGGCTTCGCAGCCGTGGATGCAATGACAGCTAACAACGCAGGCAGTGACGGGATTATAAGGGTCACTCAAGAATTCGGAGGTGACGGGACAGATTTGGGTTCGGAGGTGGCGGAACGCGGAGATAGTGGGAGCACACGACTCGGGTCTGCACTTGCACTGGACCCGGTGATAAGGAAGCTTCCAAAGCTTTCTTATCAAGACGTCTTGCTACTGCAGGCTACTCCTGACTATTATGAATATAAAACTTTAGTTTCAAATCTGTTACTTGGACTGAGAATCATGGACTGAGACTAAATCACGAAAAGACGAAACCGATTGTCATTAGCCATTCTCGACTTCGACCTTCAATTGACATAGACTCTATAAACCCAATCACAGTTAATGGCAAAGCACTTCTATACTACGACAATGTCAAGAATCTTGGTATATCTTTCAACTCTTCACTTACTTGGGACATAGCAGTAACGGACACACGAAACAAGGTTTTTGGCTCCATACATTCATTGAAAAGATTACAGAATTTTTTACCACAACACACTATACTAAATTTGATCAAATCACTTTTACTACCCCACTTTAGTTACTGCAACTCATTGATCAATGATTTGACTGCGACTCAGGCGGGTATGCTCCAGCGGTCACAGAATTATTGTTTGAGATTTGTCTATGGTCTGCGACGTATGGAGCATATCACGCCATACTAACTTGAGGCACACATCCTGAAATTAAATGATCCATGATTCATTAAATTTTTGTCATTGGTTTTTTCAATTTTGAAAACGGGCTCCCCAAAATATTTCAAATCCGATTTTAAATTTGTGTCTCAGGGTAGTTCAAGAATGTCTCACACTCACATTGCGTATACCTCATCATGTGAGCTTTTGGCAGGGCTTTTGTTGTTACCACTTGTCGTCTGTGGAACGGCCTACTCCTGCACGTTAAGACACTTGAAAAACGTTCCCAGTTTGTAGCGGCACTGAAAAAGCTCTACAGTATTTTGAGAATATGGTCTCGGCTGGCGTGTCCTAGGGCTACTGTTACTTTGCGCGTTTGCTGATGCGTGTATGCAAGAGTATGCAAATAAGTTGTTTGTACTTGTAAAATTTGTATGTTTTTTTCTGAGATATGTAGATACTTGTAGAATTGTGTAGAATAAATGTAGAATTATTAAATATTTTATGTTTAATTAGATTAAGTTAACCCAATGTAACATTAATTTTGTTATTTTTTTAATGTCAGGTTAAGTGTAAGAAAGGACCGTGTGGCCCTAACTTTGCCTGAAAAATAAACGATTTTTAATTTCATTTAATTTAATCAGATGTGTGAGATGTGTAATTGGATGGATTGCAGACCACAGCTGGTGTGTTCTGCGATCTATCCGAGGCTTTTGATTTTGTGGTACATGATATTCTTCTTGATAAGTTAAAAGTTTACAACTTCGCTTCTTCCGCATTATCTTGGGTTAAGTCTTACCTATCTGGTAGACGCCACAGAACTGTTATTTAAAAACAATGATATGTTTTTTTTTATCTGAACGGTGGAAAGGAGCGCGGGGCGTGTCCCAGGGTTCAATTCTTGGTCCTATTCTGTTTTTAATCTATATTAACGATTTAGTACAACATTTTGATTTCAAAATTGTCCTGTATGCAGATGATGCTACAGACATTCTTAAATCATACATTTTAGATTTACAGCAAATTATTCAGAATTTCCTCACAGATTTGCAAGTGTGGTTTAGGGCCAATGGTTTTAAATTAAATAGTAGCAAAACTAACGTAGGTAATCAATTTTAGTAATTTGCGAAGACAGAAACTAAATCTTAATCAAATAATATTAAATGATAATCACCTTCCTATTGTAAAGTCAACAAAGTTCTTGGGTCTCGAGGTTGATGAAAAACTAAACTGGAAAACATATTTGATAAAAAAATTAAATTCTCTTTGTTTTCATATTTTCTGCAAAAAATTACTGACTTACAGACGAGATTGATTGTATATCATGCATTGTTCGCTTCTTCAATGCAGTATGGTGTTGGACATTGGGGAGGTAGTTCAGGTATGGAGTCTATTTTTAAATTGCAAAAAAAGTATCTTAGAATAGTGACAAATTCTAAACCTAGAACATCCTGTAAATCTATTTTCAGGGAACTAAAAATTTTAACACTACCATCTATGTACATTAGTAAATGTCTGTAAATGTCAAATCTAACTTTAATATGTCAATGGAAAATCAAAATATTCACAATTATCAGACTAGAAACATAAGTGATTTCCAGTTTCCTATTCATAGATTAAGTTCCTTTGAAAAGTTGCCTCAATATTTTGGGTAAAAAGTATATAATAAGCTACCAAACAGGATAAAGAATATTGATAATTATCATAAGTTTAAGAAAGAAGTTCAGTCCCTGCTGCTAAACAAAGTATACTATTGTATAAATGATCTCTTATGTGACACCTTGTAATATGATGTAAATATCTTCTATCTATACTTATAAAAGGCAAAGCCCTCACTGACTCACTGACTCTTTGACACACTCATCACTAATTCTCCCACTTCCCATTTACCTAGGAGGCTGAAATTTGGTACACCGATTCTTTAGGCATTAAATAGGAAAACTAAGTTGTTTTTATTCTGATCGGACTCTCGGACTCCGCCCCAGTGGCTCTGGATTTCCCATGTTAACCTTATGATTTTTCATATTTAAAAGGAATTAATGAATCTTATCAGCTGTTTCAATCAAACAAGATGGTTCTGTTCTATGATGTTCAATAGCATTAAAGTTACAAGGATTACCAACAGGGTGCAGCACTATTATTTTTTTAAACTTATGACAACAGCTAATTTGCAACCAAAAGGTGAGTGAGCGTAGCGAACGAACTTCAACCTGAAGGCGAGTTAGCGTAGCGAACGAGCTTACCTGAAGGCAAGTGAGCGCAGCGAACGAGCTCCAACCTAAAGGTGAGTGAGCGTAGCGAACGAACTTCAACCAGGACGTGATTGAGCCATGCGAACGAGCTCATCTTGAAAATTAAGAAGTTAAACGGGGCAAGGCCCGCAGGTACAGCTAGTATATATATAAAGCTCAAATACCACTGACTCACTCACTCATCACGAAATCTCAGAAACCATAAGACCTAGGAACCTGAAACTTGGCAGGCATCTTCCTTTTGGGTAGTAGACGCTCACTAAGAAAGGATTTTACCCTCCGACCTCTGGGCTCCGCCCCAGTGGCTCTGGAGTTTACCATGTTAACCTTATGAGTACTCATATTTAAATGGAATTAATGAATCTTAACAGCTGTTTCAATTAAACAAGTTGGTTCTGTTCTATGATGTTCAATAGCATTAAAGCTACAAGGATTACCAACATGGTGCAGCACTATTATTCCTTTTACATTTATGACAACAGCTAATTTGCAACCAAAAGGTGAGTGAGCGTAGCGAACGAACTTCAACCAGGACGTGATTGAGCCATGCGAACGAGCTCACTTATGAAGTCAAACGGGGCAAAGCCCGCGGGTACAGCTAGTATGTATATAAAATTAAGCCATTCGATTAAGTTTTTACCAAAAAAATTTTATCATGTATATTTTGCTTTTAGTTTTTAAGATGTTGACATGTCACCAGTTTTACCAGCTATGCTGGGGAGGAAAATGTATTGTGACGAATAAAGAATCTGAATCTGAATCTCATCCCATTGTAAATTTTGAAGCCTTTTTCGTGTCTAGTTCATAACTAGGGTACAAGTTATTGATTATGATTAGATCATATTATTTGGTTAAATGAGGTTTTAAATTACCGAAATAACAAGTAACAAACACGACCTCTACAATGCACTGTACAGAAACTAGGCTTCCATAACGATGAGAAGTGTACTAAGGGAGAATGTTTTATCCATGGCAAAACTACGAGGCATGTGTTTAAGCAAGTACCATTTCTAATTTTCTCTGTTCCAGCGCTTCGATTGACATTTTTGACATTTGTGCTGTGTATGTGGACCTATTAGCAAGCCTGCGCCAGAAATTCGGCAACAATCGGCCGTATTTACATCCGGCTTCGAGCATTCAAAATAGTGCCGCCAATTGATACTGCCGCCAACCGTGAAGTGCGCACTGTGATAAAATTTTTAAGTGCTAAAGGTGCGAAAGTCATTGAAATTCATTGACAGATTAGTGAAGTGTATGGCGTATGAGTGACGGTATGGTACTCATTGGAATGATCGGACCGTAAACAGTCTGTTATCTCTAACTTTTCATCGACTTAACGCACCAATTCATCAGCAATGACAGATGGCCTTCCAGTGCGTTGCTCATCATGAACATTGGTGGGGCCGTCTTTAAATGCCCTTACCCACTTTCGTACCATGACGTCACTCATAATGTTCTTGCTATACACACGGAGAAATAAAAAATGGTACTTACTTAAAAAACATGCCTCGTAATTTAACTCTGCTATCCTATGTTACCTATATTGGATTGTTAGAAATTTTACTGGATTCAAATAATATTTTCTTTCCTTGGAAATCAGTACAAGTTCTTGACTTGGGCTAACTAGCATTACTTATACCTTGTTTACACAAAATATTTAACTAAAATTATCTGTAGGTTTGGAAAGGACTGTGTGATTCCGAGTTGGACGAGCATCTGAGGACTACGCCATGTGTCGTAGAGCCGCAGTTTTCTCTCACTGAACAACACTCCTCTCTAGCTCCGCTCAGTCAGTGGCGAGCAGCTTACCTGCGGGAACAACATCTGTGGAAGAACTGGCGAACTGGAAACTGCAAAACTGTGGAACACGAATTGGACAAAGAAAAACAATGGTCAGAGCGGTTTGTCACTAACGACTTGATAATGGTGTTTTATGATGACTCAATAGAACTGTGGGACTTAAAAACCATCCCTCATACTCTAAAGGATGTACTACGGTTTGGTAAAGAACGTATATATACACCCAGGGTTAAGGCCCTGGATAATGGATTCATTGCTTTAAAGGATTATGCTGAAGAATGTGTTGTTAAAATTGTTAAGGTAGATGTAGCCCAAGGCACTATCAATAATTATAAATGGCAGGTAGAACTAAACTTTGATTATTCATGTAAACTTGTGACCAGCAATAAAGAGGTAGGCCTATTCGATGACTTAGATTTAATGGACAAGTTTGATCTAATAATAACTCCTGGAGGAAAGTGTATTGGCAATTTTTGGTTTTGTAAAGACAATGACTCTTTCTACATATTGGATTTGGAAAATGGAGTTGAACTGAGAAAGGAATGTTGTTCTACAAGCTTTCCAGAAGGAGGGTTGGGTATTGTAGGATGTAATACTGGATCCAAAACATGTGAAGATATCCTAGTGCTCCTTCCCAATACAATGTTACCCGATCCTTCTGGAATAGTGACAGTGACATGTCGAGTGTATAATATACATCAACTATGTTTCTTACCATTCAAGCAAACTTTTCCTGTTTTTAGCGAGTTTTTATTGAATGGCGAAGTAGATTGCTTTGACCACTGTGCAATAACTGACAATTTTTTGGCTCTTTCAGACTGTGATATTAATAATCCAAAAGAGGTTTCTGATGTCAGAGTTTACAACTACAGATCTGGACATATTATACATATGTTACCCTCTAAAGGGAAGATTCATATCATAAGTGATTCACATTTTCTGTTTAAAATGCCAAAAGTTGTTAAACAAGTCACAAGGCAGAGACCAATCACCAGACAAATGATGCGTCAAGATGAAAAAACCGTTTTGTGCTCTGTTTTCTGTCCATCTGGAGCCATTTTGGAAGATACTACAGGCTCTGAAGTCAAAGATTTTCGTTTTGTTGGGAAGGGACTTGTAGAAATAATTTCAACCCAAGCTTATAGCTTAACATATAATATGCTTGTAGATTCAACCGAATTTTGGAGGTTGAATCAATTCTCCTCTTTTAAAACTGGTGTAACTTTCCCTGAGCATTCGGAAGTAAATCGCGCCGTCACAAAGGTTATAATCGATCTCTTGGAAGATGAATACACATTCAAAGTCAATTACTTTTGGTAATGTTATAGTGACAGTATGTTAGTGTTTATAAATGTAAATTGTAATTGTATTATTTAATTGTTTATTGTATTTCGTGTAGAACTGGTATAAACAACTTGCAAATGTTCATAACTAATACTTCTGAAGATAGTCAGATTACAAAATGCCAGTAATTAAGAAAGTTAAATTATGGACATTTTAAATTGAAAAGTGAATTCAACACACTCTTGTAACCCATGCTTTTATCAAACACAATTAAAAAAATCAATTTTAATTTTTACTTTGTGTTTTTCTATTGTAGTACTTGTACGCTCATTCTTCCCGTATTGGGACGAAACGAAGACTGTAAATAAGCTTGCGCTGGTAAAGGCGATCAGAATACACAGTAGTACTCTAGTTGTTGCCACACATAGAAATTACATGTATACTGGATCTAGCAGTCATGGATCAGCATTGATGCTCAAACAGTGTCTTGCAGAGCAGATCATTTCGAGAATACCAGAGGTCTTGGCGCAGATGTGGTGAATATCTGGCACAAACTCATATGACGAGTCAATAAGAATCTAGGAAATATTCAATATCCAGAGAATTGTATGCTAACAATTTTCAACTTATTCTTGGTGGGATTTACCATCATCTTTGGTCCAGTCTTAGCTGAGAGCCTTGAGCAAGGACTCAAAGTCATGGAGGGAAGCAACTTTCCACAAACAGTTTTATATCGCCAGCAAACAAAAGCTCTTGACAACTCTCTTGGTGTCTTTAAAGAATATGTAGAACTGAAAATATCTGATTTTTGTTGGATGTTTTCATGATAAATGCGCAACAAATCCATATTCACCCCAAAAAACCACATGAAAACCAGTTCACATGATATAATCAAGACAGTTAGTAATACTCAACCTATTGAGGGTGTGTTTATTGTATTAAACCAAATTACAATAATAGAGTTATCAAGATCCCATGTCAACTCCTCCTTATCCTTAGTCAAATAAGGACTCAAAACTATGGTACATTCACATAGGAATATAAATTGGAAATTTTCCCTCTAACCCTTTATCAAACGATAAATGATGTCAATTAGTAGTTGCTTGTTTTTTTAGCTATGTTATTTTAAAAAGTTTCTGTTAGAATGTGTAGTTAGGAGGTTTTCAGAGCAAAAAAAATCCAAAAACAATCATATTTGCACCACAGCCTTCTATGAAAGGTAATAAAAGATACCATTTGCTACTTAGTTTGTGTTTGCTATTTTTACCTCATGCAATGGAATTTTGAGGTTTTCAGGGTATCCTACAATGGTAAAAAATCATGTTTAAAAGTCTGTTTTCATAGTCAGACCAGAATGATTTGTTACACTCATCATATTATGGATATTGTGTTCAATCTCTTAAATTTAATCATATCAAAAGTGGTCGCTTTAAATGTAGTGGGATACTATTTTTACCGATACCTCCGTAATCATTTATCAAGGAAAACATATGTGATATACTACAGTAGAAACCCGGTGAAGTGAATTAAAGGGGGAGAGCTGTTTCGGATAACCATTTTTTTTTTGTTATCATATGCTAAAAATAACAAATGTGTTCCCACAGTGTGTAGAAAACATAAATTTAAGACAATGACTATATACCCATTGACTATACAGGGTGGAACGAAGTTAGTGTTAAAAAATTTTATGTGTTAAACTACTAAGTTTTATGTGTATAACCTCACAGGTAGAGAATAACTAACAGTTTAAGATTTTTTAAAAATATTTGCATTTGCTTACATAAAATGGTCATAAGTGCATTAAACATTGTTTTTATTCCAAATTCATTGTCATTTTCAGAATCCTCATAAATTTCCAATAATAATAGTACTAATTCATTGGGATTAAACATCTGCATAGGTTCTTATTTGGCAATGGAAGTTTGAATTTGTGATTTTTTTGAAAAAAATACTTTACTACACTGGACTGTAGAGAGTATCAAATATTACTAAAAACTTCTGCAGTTAATAACCTTTAAAATGATGTATAAACATCTACTGTTCCTTTGATTTGTCGTTCCAAATTTAAGAGTTTGTCTTGAAAAACACGGAATGGCCAAAATCGCCTGCCTTTAAAATAACATGCATTTACTTAAATAATATGACAATAGCTGTAATAACCATCATATTTTAATAGGGTTTATTGTAATTTTTAGAATCCTTGTGAGATTTATTGTAAGAATATGATCTATTAGGATTAACATCCATATAAACGTTTGTTTTGTGAAAACACGTTAAACTAGTTTATCTTTTTAATACATTAAGGCCCGGTTTCCCCAACTCATTTAAACTTAGTTTTAAGTTAAACGGTGATTTAAACTTAGTTTAACTTTGATTTGTGTTTCTCCAAATTTAAACTAGGTATTAATCTAAGTTCAAACTAAACCACCTCTCGACTTGGTTTAACTACTGGGGATAAAATAAACTGAGTTCAAATTAGTAAATTACAACAGTAACATAACCTCAAATCAAAACAAAAAGTAGGTGTTAAAAGAATAATAATTGAAGCAACTACAAATTCATTAGGACGAAATTAGGCTTGGTTTAGGGGTAGCTTTAAGTTAAGTTTTATTTATATTTTAATTTATTGTTTATTAAGTTCTTTTTTTAGTAAATTAGATTTTATTTCAAGTTAGGCTACTATTAATTAATTGCAGTAACTTATTTACCCCCTCAAACGGAAGAGTTAATAGACATTTCCGAAGAAGTAGAAGATGAAGATTATGACACTTTAGTACCTAGAACAATAAGAGGGCCTACTAAAATAAGGGACAGAATTGACCATTTCAATAAATGGAATTAATCTGAATTTGACAACAACTTATAATAACTTGATAACATAACCTTAAACAGTGATGTTATTCTAGCTGCATTCGCACATTGCTGTCTGCTCTACTGAGTTGTAGCGTCCAGTGTTGCCACCGCGTTGTTGCGATTTTACCCTAAAGGCGGGCTAAAATTACCCTAAATTACCCTAAATCTACTTTGAGTTACCCTAAAAATTACCCTAAATGTTAATATTTGCGTTTAATGCTATAAAACATTGTTAAAATCATATAAATCCTACATAAGATGGTTAATTATACTATGAAGTTCCAATATCAATCAATTTACGTAAAATTATACTCGATTCTAAAAAACCACCTGAAAGAAGAACAAAATGTTGATATTGATCAGCTCTATCGACTATCGTATAAGGAAAAATATCGAATCAAGAATTATCGAATTTTTTTACTGTATCAACCCATTACTACTGTTTTTGGACAATCATGTCTTTAAAATAGTACAGTACCACCAAAGCTTTAATCTATACATAGTAGTAATTTCTTGACACAATTTGTAAAATAATCCAGTTTAATTCGATTCAGCCACATAATTAAATATCAAACCCAGTAATTAATAATATCTCATATTTTATTAGGCCTATAACGTGTTATAGAATCGAATACATTCTAAAACAGATAATTCCCAACTATTGATAAGATCGATTAGGATAACTTATTATGAAATTAACAATCATCATATAGCAATCGATTTAAACAGATTTGAATCGAATATGATGGTTTGGCCATAATATGTAATAAACGTTTTTTGCCAAATTTTGAAGTTTTTTTCATTTTTTTAGTAAAATTTTCATTGTTATGCTTACTTTTAGTTTTACCCTAAAATTACCATAAATCTACCATTACCCTAAACTTTACCCTAAGACCAGTAAATTACCCTAAAAAAGGGTAATTGCCCTAAAAGTGGCAACACTGAGCGTAGCGCTGTGGTGGTTGTAGGAAACACTAGCCCAAAGACCACCGAAAATTCCTTACAAATACACATTCAGGATTGCCAACCGCTCGAATTGCCGTTTATCTTAAACGAAGCCAGTAAAATGTTGGAGAAACTGAACACACATTTTAAACGGAGTTTAAAAATAAACTAGTTTATTATAAACGTAGTTTACACCATTTTGGGGAAACCGGGCCTTAATATTGTTTAAAGTTACACATGGTCTATTTAACTTAAGTTTTTTTTTAAGCATAAGCAAATAATTCCAATGGATTAACCTCTAAAATTATGTAGATACTACATTTCACAATGTTGTCAATACGTTCACCAAAAACCGAAAATTAACATAAGTAAAGTATACCAATTAATTGTTTGTAGTGCTTAGACACATGCTAATGGAAATAACTTAAGCCAAGTGATATATTCCTTAACTAAAATAATTGTTAACACCTCAGAATTACTTAGTTTTAGTTATTTATACAAAGACTAAAAGTTAATTCTAAAACACACAATATTCTAAACTTAAATAACTGTTCCTTACTTTCTTAACGTTTTAATAGTTGCCTTCTACTTGATGCCAACTACTTGAGTTTTTTTTTTTAAATCTACTCCATTTTCCCTGATACCCAGCCAAGTTTTTTTTGCACGTGGCACCAACAGTAACTTTAAAATACAATACTCTGACTAGCACATCTGCATTTATTATCCAGTTGTTAATTTCCTGATTATCTTCCACTAAAGATATAGACCAAGTACTCGACATAGACACACAAAACAAGTCCAGCGGACTTAAGGTCTGGTGACCTAGCATGCCGGTAAACCACAACATATGACCCCTCATTATCATTGTTATCATTGAAGTTGTGTATTTGGCTTTAAGCCAATCTCGCACATCGGTTGAATGTACCATAGAACTAACACCGTAAACGATATTTAATGTTTGAACATGTAGATTTGTGGCTACTGTAATTAACTTGAAAATCAAATTTTGTTTTATATAGCTTAACAGTTATTCTTTTTTAAGAAATTCAAGAAAAGCCACCAAGCTTCATGTAGTCTGGACTAAGTTTCAATTTGTTCCTAATTTTCTAGAAATGTGGAAGCTCAGGTAACCCTCTTTAACATTTCAATTCGAATTCAACGGATATCTCACCTACCAAGTAGATAAAGGGGGTAGCATCGATAGTCAACCCACTAACATACCTTTACAGTACATGTAGTGTAACATGTAGACTTTTACAGGAGTTATCACTCCTGTAAAAGAGAATACACCATTTTAATTTTCACTTGTTTCATCGAATTTCCCCTGTAGGGAATAAGCTATCTCATCATAAGACCTGGACCCGGGACAGATTTACTTTTTCGCGTTGATGACCCTAGAGGCCAAAACACCATTCATCGAATAATTAAGTATATATAAAAAAATAAACCGATTTTAGTGAAATTTGGTTGAAACGTTAATTTCTTCGATCGAGTTCA